TGCAGGTCGCTTTGGTAACCAGGCTGAGCACTTTTTAGGAGCCCTGGCTTTCGCCCGTGCCCTCAACCGGACCCTGGCCGTGCCGCCCTGGATCGAGTACCGGCACCACCGCCCGCCCTACACCAACGTGAGTCCCCGGGGCGCCGGGAGGGGGCGGCGGGCAGAGCTAGGGTCTCTCCCGGGGTCTCTCCCGCCCCCCCAGGCACCGGCTCACGGGTCCTGTCTCCCCTCCAGCTGCACGTTCCCTACTCGGAGCACTTCAGGCTGGAGCCACTCCGGCGGTACCACCGCGTTATCAGCCTGGAGGAGTTCATGGAGCAGCTGGCGCCCCTGCACTGGCCTCCCGGCAAGCGAGTGGCTTACTGCTTCGAGGCGGCGGCACAGAGAAGCGCGGACAAAAACACTTGTCCCATGAAGGTGAGTTCCTCCTCAGACCCGCGGGCGAGGCTTAATTCCGCAGGGGTTCCAAGGGTGACTCATTCAGGTCGTCATTGATTTGCAAATCCAGGAGTTGCCCTCTGCTATTCGGTCGGTGTGGCATTTCTTTCACCCCTCCTGCTGTGCCTTCTTCCTCTTCTTTGTCTTCAAGTGCTTGGGGATTGGGGAGGTGATCTGTGCAAGTGATTTTATCTCTTCAGACTTGATTGTGACTGTAAAGAGAACACATCTGTAGCTTATCTTCTGCTGTTTCCCAGCTGTGGTAGAGTTGTCCAGCTGGTGTTGTAGCAACCTCTCTTGCCTACAAGTTTGAGAGTTGTGGTGTCCTTGTTCTTTAGGACAGCCTCCGTATTAGTTCTCAGTTGATTTCCCTTCCTGTGGCACTGACCTGTGACAAACAGGCTGTTGTATTCCAGATGGTTTCCTCCTGGAACAGAAAAATTCCAGCTTTGCATCCCAGTATCTTGCTAGGTCTGTCTTCCAGGCTCTGTGTATGCACTGAATGAACACTTGTCTTTCCTTTGCAGGATGGAAATCCCTTCGGTCCCTTCTGGGATCAGTTCCAAGTGGATTTTGATAAGTCTGAGCTCTTCAAGGGTATTTCCTTCAGTCCTGCATACAAGGACCATTGGATCCAAAGGTAGCAAGAAGATGGAAAAGTGTTGTCAGGCTACTGTGGGCATTTAGAGTCACTCATGAAAACAGTTGTGACTGTGTATTGTGACTTTACATTTTGGGGGAGAGATTGAAGCGGTTAGTTAGCAATATAATTAAAAATCTTACTGCTTTTTCATTAAATATTCACTGAGCTCTTCTTGTGGGCACTGCTAGGTGTGAACTGTGATTTCTGACCCAGTAATATTTAATTACAGTATTTATTGATAACATATGTAATTAATCTTCAAAAAGATTTTGGTTCCTGGTTGTTGATCATGAACTGTATTTTGATGGTTGCCTCGTGTTTTCAGAGCTAGGAGTGACTTTAGTGGTTAAGTTTGGGTGACAGAACTGCTCTAGTCTGGGGTGAAAACATACCCTCTCATTGCTTGGCAGCTCCTCACTGCATGTCTGAGATTCTTCTCTTTTTGTCTATCAGATACAAAGGTCTGAGCTAAAACACAGCACCTGAGTTTTCTTCAGTGTTAATGAGCTTTGTCAGATGGCAAAACGGTTAAAATTGATCTCAATTTGGAGCAATAGAAGCTGCATGTTTTGAGGTGTTCTTGGTCTCCATTCCAACTTCCACAGCAGTCTTTGTGCAGTATGGAGTGTGCAGGGTTATGTCATGTTTCGTGCTGCTGAGGTTTGGTTTTCCATAGGTTTCCACCCTCTGAGCACCCTGTCCTTGCCTTACCTGGAGCTCCCGCCCAGTTTCCTGTCTTGGAGGAGCACCGGCCCCTCCAGAAGTACATGGAGTGGTCTGATGGAATGGTGAAGAAGGGAGAAGCCTATATCCAGTCCCTGCTGGTCCGGCCCTACGTCGGCATTCACCTGCGGATCGGTTCAGACTGGGTATGGCTCCAACTGGGGCTGGTCCTGCTGCCTGGGCAGTGGCTGTAGGCTGGTGGCTAATGGGATAGGGACAAAGCTGGCCAAAAAGGAGCTGTGCTGGGACAGCCACCTGATCCCTGCTGGCATTCAGGAGCTCCCTGTGTGTCAGCAGTGGTGTTGGGATTCTTTCAAACAGGCAGATGTGGGGGATATGATGGTGCTTTCTCTTATCCCTCAGCTTGGTACTTTGAACATGGAAGGAGGTTGTGGCCAGGTGGGGTTCAGCCTATTCTCCCAGTGACAGGACAAGAGGAAGTCATAGAATCATAGAATTTTAGGGATTGGAATGGACCTTACAGATCATTCAGTCCCAACTCCCTGCCCTGGGCAGGGACACCTCCCACCAGAGCAGGTTGCTCAAGCCTTTAGACAACCTGGCTTTGAACACTGCCAGGGTTGGGGAAGCCACAGCCTCCTGGGGCTGCCTGTGCCAGTGTCTCACCACCCTCACAGGGAAAAACTTTTTCCTAATATCTAGCCTAAATTTCCCCTCCTTCCACTTGAACCTGTTACCCCCTTTCCTGTCACTGCAGTTCCTCACAGAGTCCCTCTCCGACTCCCTTGTAGGCCCCTTCAGATACTGATAGGCTACAATGAAACTGCCAAGGAAACTTCAGGTTGGATATTATGGAAAAATACTTCACTGAAAGAGTGGTTAAGCACTGGCACAGGCTTCCCGGGGCAGTGGTGGTGTCACTATCCCTTGAGATGTCCAAAAGACAAGCAAACATGGCGCTTGTGGGCATGGGGGTGTTCATTTAAAGTTTGGACTTTATGGTATTGGAAGTCTTTTCCAACTTTAATGATACTATGATTCTCTTTTCCTTTTCCAATAGAAAAATGCCTGCAACATGTTGAAGGATGGGACAGCTGGGCCACACTTCATGGCTTCACCACAGTGCGTGGGCTACGACCGGAGCACTGCAGTGCCTCTCACCATGGACATGTGCCTGCCTGACCTCAGAGAGATCAAACGTGCTCTCAGGGTCTGGGTGAACAAGATTGAGGCTAAATCTGTTTATATTGCTACTGATTCCGAGCCCTACACAACAGAAATACAGCAGTTCTTCCAAGGAAAGGTGAGTCTTCCAGCAATCCGTTCTGGCAGGAGTGCTTTGATAAAAACCTCCCTGGGATTCTGGCCCATGGCTGCTGTGTGTAATAGGTTATTCACAGCCAAATATTGGCTTCTCAAAGTGAATTTGGCTCATAGCAATAAAAATTATCCTGTAAAACTCATTGTTTCCTGAAGGTTGAAGAACATTATCTGGCACGGTAGTAAATATCTGCTTGAAAAAAGCTTAAATTAAATAAACCTAAGTGATTTTCAAAAATGTCCTGACATTGATCCGCTCATAAATGAGTTATAGGGCAACTTAAGACAAACCCTCCTCTTTCTGTTGTGTATTCCTATTTCTAATACTATGCCAGGACATTGGATTGTAATAATAGCTGACTGGATTTATCTGTTTCTGTACAGCTCAAGGTTGTCAGCTTGCAGCCAGAAGTGCCTCAGATTGATCTGTACATCCTTGGCCAGTCCGATCACTTCATTGGGAACTGTGTCTCTTCCTTCACTGCCTTTGTGAAAAGAGAGCGTGATATCCATGGGAAACCCTCCTCGTTTTTCGGCATGGATCACCCCCCGAGGCCACGGGATGAGTTCTGACCAAAGGAGGAACAGGCTCTGTAGTTCTCAGGGCTCTGAGCTCGGTCCTTGCCGAGGGACACTCGGTGCTGCAGTGTTGTGCAGTCACTGCCAGGCTGCTCACACCCTCTGACCCTCCTCATGTCTCTTCCAGACTGTTCTGTCTGGAATCTCCTGTATTTCCAACATGAGGTCAGATAGAAATTTGAAATCATGTAGTTTATAGGAAACTATAAACTATATATAGTGTAAGATGTAGTTTTTATAGCTCTCCATTCTCACTATTTGGGGTTCACCAGCAATCACAGTGAAGCAGCTGCATAGATTTACTCTTCTCCTTTTCTCTTCTGTTGAATCTCTACTTTTACCTGGAAAGGTAAAAGCTTTGAAGCTGCTTGTGAAAAACTGACCATAATTACTTCTTTTTAAGTGCAACAGTATTATCAGGCATATCAGAATCCCTGGAAAGGGTGTGCAAGGTGAAGCTTGGGACTGGGAATGAGCTCTGGGTTTTATCAAGGACCGCTGTTGCCTTACCAGAACCAGTGTCACCTCAGTGCCTCGGTGTTCCATTCCCTGTCTAAAGAGATTCCATGCTCAGTGTTGTGGGGCCCTGGATCCCTTCAGAAGAGCTGGTGGAGTACAGCAGGGCCACAGTGTGACAGCTGTTTGTTCAGCCTCTGCATCCACCTGGAGAAAAGCATGTACAGGGACACAGGAGGAGATTTGTCACAGCCAGTCCAGAGCTGGAGATTGAGAGCTTGTAGCTTTGTAGCAGTTGATGTCAGTGCAGGTCTGTGGCAGGAGTGGGACTGGGTTTGAGCCAAGACTTGTTAAAGTAGCTGTAGTGGGGTTGGGTATGTCATACCTGTGTCTGTGGTAGTGGTTTCTGTTCTCTTGTTTGTTTTTGTACTTTGTGAAATAACCTCTCCCATGTCTGGGAGGCAATTCCCAGTGGAGGTAGCTCTGGAAAGCTACAGTTCATTGATAGGGAAGCAACAGCCCAAACCCCTGAGTTTGGCTCAGTACTGTTTGGTGCTGGTAACACTAATAATCCAGATGTGGTGAGACTCAACTTGACCAATGACATTTGGTGCTTCTGTGACTTTATTTTTGATCCAAAGACTGAGAACAGAGCTGTTCATTGTTCAAAAGTGCCACTGAGGTGAGTCTGTGGTACCAGGGCTGCTGCCTCCAGTGCACTGCTGTGGTCTAGACAGCACTGTTACAGGGGTTTCACTCTTAAATGTCTTATTTTATGGTGGTCTTCTGCTTGGAAACATTCCTGAGCTTTGAAGGAGTCTGAAGGTTCAAGGGAGCGAGCAAAAAAGGGCTAAATGAGAAGGTCCCCCAGGTGTCAAGGTGGAAAAGACTCTTGTTTCCTCAGTACTGGCTTCAAAAATCATGGTATGTGGGGGGAAAATCATTGGATTTGGAGCCTCTGGGAGCCAGGCTTCTGGAGACCTTGACTCTCCTCAGTGTTTCATACAGTTTACTGATCTTGGGTGATACCCTTGGGGCCACCTAGCAGGGGAAGCCTTTCCCCACATTTGCAAAGACAAAGTACTGAAAAAAAGTTAGGGTGGGATTTTTTTTTAAGAACAAGGTATTTTTTGTACTATTAAAAACTCAATTTTGTATTCAATCGTAGCACATCACCATTGCTTCCTCCGGTGCAGCTTGCTCGGCTGAGCACTGGGCACTGGCACCAGCTGTGCCTGGGTGTGGGAGAGCCACGGGACGCACCCGGTTGGGGTAAAAATCGGCACTTTTGGGGCTGGTAGGGGCGGGATGGGCCCGGTCGGAGCAGAAACCAACAGTTTCGGGACTGGTGGGGGCGAGATGCACCCAGCTGGGGCAAAAATTGGCACTTTCGGGGCTGATAAGGGTGGGACGTGCACAATTGGGGTAAAAACCAACACTTTCGGGG